TTTCATTTTCACGTTTCGAGATGCTCTCAAGTTCGTTGCGTGTGAGCTTGAGGAAGTGTCAGATCCTTTGTTGTAGAGACGCTGCACCTTGAACTGACTCTCTTTCAGCACATCCTTGAACCACACTGCACCATGTTGTGCTTGGTTCGCCTTCCATGTAACAGTATGCATTGCTTGTTTCACATTCTGAGCTGCAACATGTGTTCTTTCCTTCTCCCTCCGTTCGTCCTGCACCCCTTTCGTTCCTCACCGCAGCACGCCTTGCTCTTTGCTGTCTTCGTTACTATAGGGCTCATCTTCTATGTCCATGACACAAGCAGGTGAGACCAAGGAAAGTTGTACGATAAAATTTCGGAATGGATGATTGATTTGAAGCTCTGTATCTGCCGAATCTCAGTGCTAATTTATGAATATAGTCCGCATAGTTCCATCTTTCTCATGTCATACTCCAAACCTCCCTTCTACTTCCCGTCTCACCTGTGAAACCTCCCAATCTTCCTGACATTTCTAAATCCCCCCTCCCCCCACCCCCGTACCCCTCCCTCTTCCCCTCCTTCACCCACCCCTCTCCCCCACTTTCATTCCTACCACCTCCATGCCCAGTCTCCTGCCTCTCCCACCAGGCTCCCTGCACATCATCTACGCCATCGGCTTTTTCAGCGAGGCCATTCTCACCACCTTCCACTCCATCTCCCACAAGGGCCTCGAGCCTCGCTTCCACCTCTTCCAAGCACTCGCTGCCGTCATCTGCTTCCTGCTTGCGCTCCTCGTTGCCGCCTTCCCCTCCTGCTTCCTCCTCGATGCAATGTTTTTCTCGGGGTTTCTTTTCCAAGGCCTCTGGCTCTGGACCATGTCTCTTTTCCTCTATGGAGTGCTCCACTTACCGGGTTGTCGCAATGTCGATTATAAGATGGTTAAGTGTGAGACGGAAGCGGAGGAGCACCTGGGTGTTGCGCTCGCAGGTATTCTTTTTATTGCCGTGCTCGTCTTTACCATGCTCCTCGCCCTTGCTCTCTATGCCAGGGCTGCTCGGAACGCCCCCCGTTCGTCCATAGACTACATCCTTGCATTATCTCCTAACGTCGAGGCATCTCAGAAGGAAGCTGCTTCCGGGAACATTGAAGCCGGGATTGACGTGAACGGGGAAAAAGATGTGCAGGTTGGAGCAGCAGCAGTTGCAGCAACAGCAGGTCCTAAGGTGCCCCTCACTCATGCTGTTGTCAACTTGGAGAATGAAAGTGCCGCATTGCTAGGTGGTAAAATTGAGATGTGACGATTCGCATGAGATGTATAAGTTCAGATGTACAGCAGCATTTGCGTGGGAAGAGTAATTCCCACAGTACATGCATTTACTATTCCAGGAATCATAAAAGCAGTGCTGCTATGAAGCCCTAATGAACTGACATGTAGAAATCAACCCCTTATTATGTGAACGGATGGGGAACGCGGGTGTAATTACGACAACGAGTATACCCGTCCTATCTTAATGACTAATGGTGTTATTGGAGCGAGCAGCTGCAGGAACTATCCTCGATATAGCACGACTCGGTACGGTAGCCCATCGCGGCGGCTTCATGATCACTGCAGAGACAGGGGAGACAAATATGCGGGGGAACACAATATTAAGATCCACAATTCTCCATGTACTTGGAAAAATGAAGTGGGAGAGCAAAGTCGTACTGAAGCGTCGAGCCTCACGCATTGCAACCTAGCCAGACCATACCAGCACAACCGAGCCAGACCATACCGCACAACCTAGCCAGACCATACCGCACGCACTCTCATCCGCTAATCTTTCCACCCCTGCCTCCCCCACACCGGCCAACCCGCACCAGCGAGTTCCCCGCATCCGAACCCGCTCCCTTCAACCACCTAATCCGCGCACAACCCGCAATTCCCCGCGTCACGCACCAGCGACGGAATTCCCTGACGGCAGCCAGCGCCGCGCCCTTCGCCTCGTCCAGCCACTGCACGCGCAGACCCCGCGACGCGCCTTCCGCCCGCACCGCCGCATTCGACGCCGTCTTAGACAGCGACGACGATCTCGACGGCCTGATAGCCTGACCGTTATCGTAAGACGGCGACTCTGAGTCAGGATGGTGAGTGGCAAGCACAGGCAGGGGGCCTGCGACGAGGTCCCATTCCCAGCAGTCGACGGGGGGCGCATGTATGTGCGGCAATTCCGCCTCAATATCCTCCAGGCACTCGAGAATGAACTGGGAGACGTGGGTTCGAATCTTGCCGGACGCGCATAGCCCGTTGTGCAGGGCCTGGGTTAGGGAGACGGCGACGGAGAACGAGAGTGCGGATAGGGAGGACCCGCACGGGGAGTCTAAGAGAGCGGCGTGAGCGGAGCTGAGGATCGCAAGGGATGCGTCGAGACCCGAAATGCCGGCGTGGTGTTGGTCTTGTGGGGTTTCTACGACAGGCGTGGGTTCAACTCCTGACAAGCGCAGTTCTGATGGTGCTGCCAGACTGGGAGGCTCCAGACGAACGGATGCTGACTCGCATGCGACGGATGCTACGGCCATAGTTACGGTGAAAGATTGCAACGGATGAGTTCCCGCAATGCTGATGATTTACGCGACAGGGAGCTGTGGCTAGAATGCACGACGCGACACCCACGTTACTATAGTAGATTCTGCCTAGATCCTGCCCAACACTCTGTTGATAAGCTATATCCACGGTACATAAAGAACTAGGACGTAGAGGAACACAACTCCCTGACCAGGATTTACGAGCGGACGGAATGAACAGACACTGGTGCAAGCACCAGGTGGTGTGACTGAGAAGGCTTCTAATATATATACGAGTAAACCTACTCACCATTCTTCTGTGCTCTAACATGTGTCGTTGAAGGGAACCAGGAACCACAAGCATCAACAGAGCAACCTAACCTAATCCGTGCCTCTGTCTGTGTATGAGAAGGTCCTGTAAACCAAGCCTCTTTCATCGTTCTGCACCACGATTGGTGGGAATGAATTTGTTGGGACAATGATGTGCGCGCTCGGCGCAACCCCAAGCAAGCAGGTGAGCCACGGCACTGGCTTGGTAATTACCGAACAGAAGGGGAGGAAACAAAGCTTGAACGACCAAGGCGTGGCCGTCGATTTTGCGACTCGTACACCGTGCACGAGACCAGTTGGGGCGACCGCGCATCGTCACGAATTCTCTGCGAGTGGTTGGGAACGTGAGATCTGTTGACATGACATCTGCATAGGGTCAATTGACAATGCCATTGTCTTCGCGACTGTTTTTTCTTTAGGTCCCTGCCCGAGGGCCATTCCCTCGGTATTATCATGTTTTGACGTGTTACATTTGGATATATCATGGTGGTTCTCCTAGTTACGAAGGTAGAGCAGTGTCAAAAGTGAGGTCTCAATGGTTTGTTGCCGAACCGCAGTCGAGGCGACGCCGCCGAAAATACCGCTGTAATCAGGCAAGCCGTTACAGTATGACGGCATAAAGGCTCGGGCCGCCGCCGTCTGTTCCAATAGCGGAGACAACACTCGTCTTGGCAATTTCGTGCAAATCTGCATTTTCTAGAAAGCTGTAAACTGTAAGCAAAACAGCAATATATGAGATTACGGTGCGCGCATTAGAACATTCTAATATCGTGATCCTAGTTGTCTATAGGTAGAGTTTATGACGGGAAGCTTCTCCACAACCGAAATGCAAAGTTGCTGTCGTCATGGCATCACCTCACCGACACATGTTCGTCGCCACGTCGTCAGGATACTCCTTCAGGACAGCGTAGGCATGCTGACTTGGACCAGCAAATTGCATGGTTGGCTTCCAGCTTTGTACTGTACGCCGTCCGGATGAACGGGTGCGATCGAGGGATTCACAATGGTTGGCTGGATCTGCCGTGACTTGGGACACATCGAGTGATCGTGCGTGCTCAATGCGACAGACCAATCGAGTCGCGATGCCAAGTCACACCAGTGGGTGCGTTCTGGGAGGAATCATTGAATCGGGATGAAACCAGAATTGGGTTGTAGTACAAGGAATGTTCCACCCTGAAATGGCAGCGTGGCCCAATCAAAGTAGACAGGGCTGCCAGGGAATCTCAGCGACTAGGGTCTCTTCTCTGAACCTGCACCACAAGCACCATCCTTTCCTTCCTCTCACAAGCCACCATCACACCCTTACCACGCGGCGCCTCAAGCAATTTTGAACGATTGATCGCAGGATCGCTGAATCAACCGTACTGAATCTCTGCTGAAAGCATTTGAATCTTTCAATACCATTTTAAACTCCTAAAACATTCGATCCTGCGCAGGATCGATCGCAGGATCGCGTCCTTACCTAGCACCATTCCCCCAGCCAACCTGCTTGGAGCTTCCGTACGATGCTACACTAGCCTCAAAGCCAGAATGTATTACGTAGGGAAGAGAGGTATCTGCAATACCGACGCGCACCGCGGCCCGCCGCACGCAGTCATGGCGGACGTTGATTCCGTCAGAACCGGTTCTCCAGAGGCCTTCCAGCCGCTTCAGGCATTTCACTCTCATAACGACACGCCGTCGAGCCGGTCCGTGCAGGTATCATTCCAATCTGATGCCCATGCGACGGCATCGGTGGTCTCTCGCGCTGCGTTAGACTCCTCCGTCCCATATCCCCTCGCTTGCGTTCCTCTCCCTCTCCCTCGCCCTCCTCCACCCGCGTCCACGCCAGCAGAACCAAACGAGAAACCGCCGCAAGACCTAAACGATATGGCTACAATCGAGGATAGAAACCTCCCCGCCAATCAAAATTCGTTACAAACCATCACGAAAGGCAGCATCCGATCGCGTTATTCCATCGTTCGCCGAATCGGCAGCGGCCGGTTCGGCTCCGTCTACGAGGCCGTAGATCGCGCCACGAGCAGCCGCGTCGCCATTAAGAGCATCCCTAAAGCGCGCCAGAGCGCCCTTCCGTCGCTAATCCGAACCAAGGTGACCGAGGCTGATGTGGCTCGGCAGCAGCGACTGGTCGAATCGGAAGCTGAAATCAGCCTCATGCTCGGGTCGGCTACTACAGCCGGTCAGGATGACGAGCCGGATCGGATCGTATCCGCAAGTCAAACCGTTTTAGCCGAAGCGGCTGTAGCTTCTGTGGCGGAAGGCGCTGTAGATTTTGGGGCGGCGGATGCACTAGCAGCGGGGCAGGGTACTGTGGGGCAGGGTACTGTGGGGCAGGGTAACGTGGTGCAGGTGTTATCCGTGGTGGAGGGCCGGCAGCATTTCCACATCGTCATGCAGCTCTGCCGCGGCGGCTCGCTCGCCGAATTCCTCGAGAAACGCCGCCGCGGCCAAGTCGCCACCTTGGCCGCCGCCGCCGCCCCTGCCGTCGTTTCTCCTGCCGCTGTTTCTCCCGCCGCCTCTTCCACCGCAATTCCGGCTTCGGGTTTTACCCCGTGCCCCTTGCACTCCTACCAAGTCGCTCGACCCTCAGCGCGCTTCGCTGCCGGGGGGGATCGCTCGCCTGTCGGTTTCCTTCCCGCAGACTCCGGAAACGCCTCGCCGTCACCGCCGGCGACGGGAGTGGCGTCAGATGCGGAGAGCAGTCCTCACAGATGGTATCAGGCGGCGACGTGGGAATCGAACTCGGAGGAAGAAGGCGGACCGAACGAGGGGGTGGAGGCGCTGGAAGGGACTGATTCAGCAGGCCGCGATTGGCGGCATAGGATGCGAGACGAAGAAAGATTGGGGGAGAGTGGTAGAGAGAGTGAAAGGATTGAGGACGATGGTACGGAGCAGGAGGACGAAGATTCCGTGGCGTCGCAGCTGAAAGCTGATTGGGTGCCGCGAAAGGCGCTGACGGGAAAGGGCATGGAGAAGTCTGCATCGACGGGCGAGCTAGCGCAACTCGCGGAGGCAGCAGCGGCTGCTGCGGCGTCGTTCGCGGGGCGAACTAATGCGGGGTTCTCGCCGGCCACAGGGGCTGCAGGATTGTCCACGTCGGCAGGAGCTGAGTCAGCAGGAGCGGGAGGGGGAGAGAGCAGTAGAGCGGTGGTGTATGGAGGGATGACGGAGGAGGGGAGGAGGAGGCAGCAGGAGTGGGAGGACGAAGCAGCGTGGATAGTCTATGAGATCGCTGCAGCGGTGGCGTATTGCCACAAACGGGGCATCTTACATCGAGACATCAAACCAGAGAACGTTCTCTTGACTCTGCCGCCCAGCTCCCAGCCAATCACCACCCACGCCTCTCCACGTTCCCCTTGCACCACAGCTGCGTCCTCCGAGGACCAAAATTTCCGTTCTGCCCGTGTTGTGGGGCGGTCAACGTCAGTGGGGCAGTCAACATCATTAAAGCCAAGCAGTGAGTTTCTGCGTAAGAGCCCCTCCTTTTCTATCCTCGCCACAGCTGCTGGTGCTCATGCTGCCGACGGTGAGGCTGGTGGGGCGAGGGGTAGGCTCGTGGCAGCAGAGTCAGGGCGCTATCAGGCAGCCAGTGTGGGTGCTGCTGCTGCCCATCCACCCCACGCTGGTGGGGCCCATTGGCATGGCAGGGTGCGTGGCAGCGTGCATGGGAACGCGCATGGGCACAGGCGCTCTGGCTCTCTCGCCAGCTGGCTGGGTCGAACCAGCCTGCGGAAGAAGCAGCAGCAGCAGCAGAAGCAGGAGCAGGAGCAGCAGCAGCAGCAGCAGCAGCAGCAGCAGAAGCAGGAGCAGCAGCAGCATCAGCAGCTGATGCAGCAAATGGAGGATGGGGAGCAGTCTTTCAAGGCAGGCGGTTCGGAACTTTCCATTTGTACTGCTGCTGTTGCTGCTGCACTCCCCTTGTGCACCTGTGCATGCAAGCAGCAGCACCAACACTCCAACAATACCCCTCTCCCTGCTCTCAGTGAAGTGCAAGGGCTGCGTTTGGCTGACTTTGGCCTGGCAGAGAAGCTACGGCCAGGGCAGGCAGCCACACGAGGCCTTGTTGGCAGCCCTGCCTACGTGGCACCTGAGGTGGCGGCAGGGCTCCCCGTCAGCTTCCCTGCAGACGTCTGGGGCATCGGAATTTGTCTGTACATGGTGTTGTCGGGCGGCCAGCTGCCGTTTTCTGGGCGGCGCACTCGGCTGCTGTTGTTGAATATTCGGCGGGCGCAGCTTCCTATGGGGACGGCGGCATGGGTGAGTGTGTCGGGAGAGGCGAAGGATGTGGTGAGGAGATTGTTGGCTGCAGATCCGAAGCACCGGCCAAGTGCGGAGGAGGTATTGCAGATGCCATGGGTGGTGAATGGGAGAGGTCGGTGGCTGCAACGGCAGACAGGTTTTGTGACTTGAGGTTGTGTGCAAATGTTCTCTTAAAGCTCTTCATTGTTTGGGTGTCGTTTATTTATTATATTCTGCCAGCCTGAAACCTGCCAGTGACAAAGTAGCAGCTGGATTTGGGTGGTTTGATATATTTTATTAATTAACAAGTGAGTATACCAGTACGTTGGAATAATGTTTCGCTACATGGCTCTTGTAAGGAATTTTCTCGAATTCCTTATCGGGGTTGACTGCTACGCGTTCATCCCGATTTTCGGACTTTGCACGTTCGGCCGATTTCAACGCTGCCGAGGCTCCTCGCGTCGCCTTCAGCATTTCCCATCGCCAAACCTGCACCCCAACCTCGCTCGTTCGAGGTTTCCTCCTAGCTAGGCTAGCTCCTACATTGGTGCGTTCCTTCATTGTATTCTCATATCAGTTTATCACATCCTCGTTATTCGTTTACCTGCGCACTCTCTTTTACTACTCATAACACCTGGTATCAGAGCTACTTACCTAGTTCACCCCACTTTTCCGAGGGTAGTTTGGTGGGATAGGGTGTGGCTGTTTTAGTGACTACACGACGGTTGGCCGCAGGGATTGTTAATTCAATCCTGCCCGACTCCGATAGTTCGTGTTCTCACTTGCCTGAAGGCCACGGAGACCCGACTGCCCACCAGGCGTAGCGCTAGGCACATGGATCAGGAGGCGGTCAACAGGATGATGGCACAAGTGGCAGAAATGCAGAAGAGCATGAAGACATTAATGGCGGAAGTGACAACACTGCGAGAGGAAAACGCCGAGCTACGCCAGACGCGAGGTGAAGCGCGTTAGGAGTCGCCTGTGGACGAAGGCGAGGGCAACAGTCAAGCGATGAGCAATCCGCTGGATGCGCTCACACGTGACTTCGAAGAAGAGGATACGCAGCGCGCGGCAGCGGCGCCACCTGCAGTAACGACGATCAAGATCAAGCCCGTCAACCCGCCCCCGTTTAATCCTAGAGACAAAACGACTACAGTGAAGGGGTGGCTGTTTGGTGTCGAGGTCTTCTTCACTGCTGCGGGCGTTAACGACGATGCCACGCGTATTAATTCCGCCGTTTCGCTTCTTCGGGGCGCGGCGCTTGAGTGGTGGCGCCGAACCTTGGAAATAGGGACGCCGACAGGTGTGACACATGCGGCAGACGGGACCTCTGCAGCGTCTAATCAAGTGGCGGAATCAATCTTTGGTGTGACCACGATACGCACGTCGAAGGAGTGGGGCGCAGCCTTGCGAAACCGTTTCGAGCACATATCCGCCTCGGAGCAAGCTCGCATGAAGCTGCATGCATGGCCGCAGATGGCTTCTGTCCAAGACTACACGGCGTCATTTATGGGCCTCGCCGACCAAGTTGATGATATGTTGGAAGATGAGCGGTTGGATAAATATATCAGCGGCCTCAAATACGAGATACAGTACGAGGTTCGCAGGGGGCGCCCGACATCGTTTCTTGAAGCAGTACGGCTGGCGGAGTCTACAGATGCGCTGATGCAGTACGCGAGAGCAGCTTCATAGGATGGAAACCGCTTTCGTGGCTAGACCCATCGGGCCACGATCAACGCTGTCCATACACCTGACCGCCCTCCTAAGGGACCGTGTTACTGGTGCGGGAAGACAGGTCACTACATGAAAGACTGCCACGAGAAAACGCCGCTGACGGGGAACGACAGGAAGGAGTAGGGAAATGGGAAGAGTCAGTAATTAGCGGGCCCTTTACTGACTGTGCTTCGTCGCCCGAACCCCACCATCCCCACCGAGTCGTGGTTCCGATTCATGCAATCGATCGCACTCGGCCGAATAACGGGGATACACATGTGGATCACCCTGTGCTGGTCGCTGGCAAGGTGTTAAAAAATAACTTGAAAATGTTCGTCGATGGGGGGGCCAGCCATAGCCTCTTCAACTTGGCAAGCGCAAAAAAAAACCAAGCTGCAACTTGACAGGTGTCTACCCGAAATTGACGCTCGCCTCGTGGACGGGACGCCTCTGGCGATAACGGAACAAACACGGACGGTCAGGATCGAATGCGGCGACGATTTCGGCTTCAGCATGAAGTTTTCTCGCGACAACATTGGACGGCTGCGACGTGCTGCTAGGACGTGATTGGCTACGACGGCACAACCCCGTCATCGACTGGACAACGGGATCGTGCAACATCAACAAGCACGAGGGGCTAATTAAGCTGCCTGCATGGACACCTAACTACATCCAAGCCTCGTGCGTCAAAGCTATCACTATAGCTCGCCACTTCAACAAAGGCACGCAGCTGTTCGCTGTCTGCTTATGCGATTTGGTAGTTGACACCGACGGAAAGGACATCGAGAAGCTGTGTGCAGGTGTACCACCGGATTTAGCAGAGCTGATTCGGAGGTACCCCGACATTTTCCCCGACGATCTGCCACCTGGACTGCCACCCGAGAGACCTGAGGACCACAAAATCCAGCTGGAACCTGGCGCGCAGCCGAATGTTTGGACACAGTGGCGGTTGACCCAGCCGGAACTCGAGGAACTGTGAAGTCAAATTGACGCACTGTTGGAAAAAGGGTTCTTTCGGGCCAGCACATCTCCCTTCGCAGCACCAATCGTGTTCACTCCGAAGAAGGACGACGGACTTCGCATGTGCATCGACTATCGCGCGCTGAACCGGGTCACAATCAAGTCTCGCTACCCAATCCCACGCACCGACGACCTCCTCGACCAGCTTCGCGGCGCTCGTTATTTCTCGAAAATTGACTTAAGTGGCGGTTACCACCAGATTCGAGACTTCGCCGACGACTGTCACAAGACTGCGTTTCGCACACGCTACGGGAGTTACGAATTTACAGTGATGCCTTTCGGCCTCACGAACGCGCCTTCGACATTTCAACTGACCATGAACAGGGTTTTTCGGGATCTTCTAGACCGATGTGTCATCGTCTACTTGGACGATATCCTGATTTTTAGCAAGACAAGGGAGCAGCACCTCCGCGACCTGGATGTAGTGTTTAAGCGGCTGCAGGAGAACCGACTCATCACCAAGGGCTCTAAGTGCGAGTTTTTTTAAGCACGAGTTGGAGTTTTTGGGGCACGTCATTTCGCGCAACGGCGATAAAATCGACCCGGCGAAGATCAAAACCATAAAGGAGTGGAAGTCCCCGACGAATGTCACGGAACTCCAGAGTTTTCTGGGATTCGTGAATTACGTCAGGCGGTTTATCCCGAATATGGCGGGGATAACCGGCCCGCTGACGGACCTGCTGCACAAGGACAGGAATTTTGTGGGGGGAGGAGGCAGAAGCGGCTTTCCATGAACTCAAGAATTTTCTCGTTTCCCCTCCTGTGCTGCGCATTGCCGACCCATCAAAGCCGTTCGAAGTCGTCACCGACGCCTCATATTTCGCCATCGGAGCTGTGCTACTTCAAGATTTTGGGAACGGATTGCAGCCAATAGCCTACAAATCCCGCAAGCTGCAGGCAGCCGAACGCAACTACCCGATCCACGACAAGGAGATGCTTGCCATAATACACGCGTTCAAACTGTGGCGCTGCTACTTGGTGGGCGCTGACGTCACTGTTCGCACGGACCACAAGTCCCTACAGTACCTACGAGCCCAGCCTGTCAAACTCATATGCTATAGTCTGTGTAGGCTGTAGTGGGGTAGACAATATGGGGTACAACACTTTTAGGTTTTCCTACTTGTTCCCACCTGTTTGCCAGTGCATTCATTCCTCGTTCTTTCACATGGTATAGAGCAGGTTCCCTAGTGGGAACGTTTCCTAGGGCCCACCGAATATCGATTTTTTTTTTCCTGCCTGGAGCGCGCTTCGCCCTGCCCGAGTCGCGCCCCGTGTGCCTACCCTCCCGTCGCATCCCCTGCCCTTAGTGGCCCGTCGCGCTCCCCTACGGCCCCGTAGCGGCCCCTCTCACGGCCTCTCACGGCCCCTCTCACGGCCCTTCGCGGCCCCTTCAGGCCCCTTGTGGCCCATTCGCGGCCTCACTTCACGGCCCCTTCGCGGCCCCTTCACGGCCCCTTTGCGGCACCTTCACGGCCCCTTCACGGCCCCTTCACGGCCCCTACGCGGCCCCTTCACGGCCCCTTCGCGGCACCTTCACGGCCTCTTCACGGCCCCTTCACGGCCCCTTCGCGGCCCCTTCGCGGCCCCCTTGCGGCCCCCTCGCGGCCCCTTCACGGCCCCTTCGCGGCCCCTTCACGGCCCCTTCGCAGCCCCTTCGCGGCCCCTTCACGGCCCCCCTCGTGGCCCCCCTCACGGCTCCCTTCGCGGCCCCTTCTCGGCCCCCTCGCGGCCCCCCTCGCGGCCCCTTCGCGGCCCCTTCGCGCCTCCCTCACGGCTCCCTTCGCGGCCCCTTCGCGGCCCCTTCGCGGCCTCGCCCCGTCGCCACTCGCGGCCCCGCTTCGTCGCCCCTGCCTCGTCGCGTCGCCCCTGCGGGACCCGCGAGGCGCGGCTCCTGTGCGTCGCGACGCCCCTGCGGGACCCGCGTGGCGTCACCCCTGCCCGCCGCGGCGCCCTGCCCTAACCCGAACCTGGAGCAGCCGCCACTGCAGCAGCCGCCCCTGGAGCAGCCGCCACTGCAGCAACCGCCCTTGGAGCAGCCTCCCCTGCAGCAGCCGCCCCTAGAGCAGCCGCCCCTGAAGTAGCCGCCCCTGGAGCAGCCGCCCCTAAAGCAGCCGCCTCTGGAGCAGCCGCCCCTGCAGCAGCCGCCCCTGGAGCAGCCGCCCCTGCAGCAGCCGCCCCTGGAGCAACCGCCACTGCAGCAGCCGCCCCAGGAGCAGCCGCCACTGCAGCAGCCGCCCCTAGAGCAGCCGCCACTACACCAGCAGCCCCTGGAGCAGCCGCCACTGCAGCAGGCGCCCCTGGAGCAGCCGCCACTGCAGCAGCCGCCCCTGGAGAAGCCGCCACTGCAGCAGCCGCCCCTGGAGCAGCCGCCCCTGAAGCAACCGCCCCTGGAGCAGCCGCCCTTGGAGCAGCCGCCCCTGAAGCAGCCGCCCCTGGAG